GTTATTTTAGTTTTTGGTATAAAACCAGTTAGTAATAAGTTTTAGGTTATAATTAAGTAAGTCCGAATCCTTCAGAGGTGATTTTGTTGAATAGAAAAAGCTAGCATCATCAGCATAAAGAAGAATTTTGAATATGGTTTTAATAGAGAACAAATCATTAATAAACAATATAAAAAGCAAGGGTCCAAGAATAGACCCTTGTGGGACACCTTTAGGTACCAAGATTTTATGGGAATTGACATCATTAACTCTTACATACTGGTATCTATTGAGTAAATAAGACATAAACCAAGAGTGAGATTTACCACGAAAGCCAAGCGCTTCAAGTTTACGTAATAGAAGAGTGTGATCAATGAGATCAAAAGCTTTACTGAGATCAATAAACACGCCAATTGTAAGAAGTCCATCATTCATATTAGAAAGGGTGTTATGTGCAAACTGAAGATTGGCTAATTCAGTTGATCTGCCAGATCGGAAGCCAAATTGGTTTTCCGATAGGAGATGAAAAGTTGTTATAAATTTGTGCATTCGAATATACATGAGTTTTTCTAATATCTTGGACAATGGAGATAATAAAGATATGGGCCGGTAGTTGTTTACACAACGTTTGTCACCTTTTTTATATATATAGGAATAACACGAGCAGTTTTAAATACAGTGGGGAAGACACCTTGTTTAAATGATAAGTTGAATATATAGGCAAGAGGTTTAGTAATATTGTAAATGCAGTTTTTAATTATATAGTTGCTGAGTTCATCATCAGATAAGGATTTTGCATTTTTCATATTACCAACCACATCTAAAATTTCAGATTCATTAACACTATAAATATAAAAAGAATTAGAGCTATTACCAGACAAGAAAGAATTATCACAAGAATTGTAATTATCATCGATAGAAAGTAAGCTTTCAATAAAGTAATTATTGAATTCATTAGAAATTGTCAAATTGTTAGTAACAACGTTATCATCAATCATTAATTGAGAAATATTATGAGAAGAGGCATTATTAAGCAACGAATTAATGAATTTCCATTTAAATTTTGAGTCATTGTTAGAAAATATATTACTATAATAGTTACGCTCAGCCTTTCTTATAACACTAGTGAAACGATTGCGGTGGTATTTATATATCTTTAGATTAGAAGGTGTGGGATTCAAAATACATTTTTTAAATAGTTTATTTTTTATTCTAGAGGCCTTTATGATGTCCCTGGTAATCCATCCTTTGTGCTTGTTGTTGTTAATTACCTTGATTGGAGCATATCTATCAATTATAGAGTTAAAGTGATTATAGAAAGACAGACAGGATACCTCAACGTTTTCAGATCCAAGTACATCATCCCATTTGGTCATGGATAAAATTTTATTGATAATGTCAAAAGTTTTAGTAGTGAAATGACAAGTACCTAAGATACCAGGTGGCTGAGAGGACAAATTTGTGCTATTGAAGAATGAAAATATTGGATAATGGTCCGAAAAATCAGATAAAAGAATACCAGCTGTATGTGGTAAAGAACTATTACTAAAGATGTGGTCAATTAGAGTGGCCGATGTATTTGTTACTCGTGTAGGTAATTCAATCGTCGAGGAAATATTGTAAGTTGCTAGTAAATTTTTAATTGCCATACTTTGAGTAGTGCATTTAGATAGGTCAACATTGATGTCACCAACAAGGTAAATATCCGTTGTAGGTTTAAGCCTATCCAAAATACATTCCAGATGTCTTAAAAAAGCATCGAAGGAAGAAGCAGGAGGTCGATATATGGCTAAAATTGTACCCTTAAAATAGTTGCAAGTAACATTAATACATAAACTATCTGAAAGATCATCATCAAATATCGATATTAAATTAGTTACAAAAGGAATGTCTTTTCTAATAAAAATACCTACACCTCCTCCAATTCGGCCTGTTCTATTTTAACAAGCAAAATTGTAGGAATCAATATTAACTAATTTACATGTAACGTCATTTAACCAGGTTTCAGAAACAATAATGAAATGAAATATGTTAGAAAATGATTTAATCAAAATTTGTAAATCTGACAGTTTATTAGTAACACTCCGACAATTTTAAACCAAAACTCGTTGAACAAACGCATTTAAATTTGCTACTTAACTAAATATTTAAGCACTTGTGTGTGTGTGTGTGTGTGTGTGTGTGTGTGTGTGTGTGTGGTATGTGTGTGTGGTGTGTGCAAAACATGGCAACATATTTTGACATTTCCACATACGAATTAAACGCCATGTGTAACATCCAGACAGACATTCGGATATAGATCATTCACTTTCTGCCTGCAATGACCAGTTGTGAGGTCGCAGAGAGGTAATCAATCAATCAATCATAACGTACGAATGTTAAACTCAAAAATGTCTCGGTGACAAAATCTTTTTTAGACATCACTCAAATGTAATGCGTACCAAGTTGACCATTATTCAGTAAAGTGACTCTAAAATCTGAGACATTTTTCAAGTTTTTATTTAGGATTTTTTCAAATTATAATGCCATTGATTCAAAAGTTTTGTTATTTTCGTTAATTCATAAAAAATTTGAAATAAATTTAAATGATCTTACTTATCGGAGATGGAGTTTTTAATGATGGCCGTGATGACGAAAGTTGTATTGAGCGGGAGTGTGGTGACTAGGAAGAAGCAGGAGACGGCGAACAACATGACGCCCATCCTGTTGAGACCACATGATCGACTGCCGACCTGCTCCGAACTTGATTTGTTTGCTGTTTCGCGGTCCGATGATGTCGACTTCTTTCCGACGATGTAATGTTTCCGCACTGAAAAGTTTTGATTGCTGCTACCGGTCTTGACGTTGACGTCTTCGCTGAATTTTATTGTGCAACTTTCACTTCCAGGTTTGATGTATTTGGGCGCAAAATTCGATTTGTTTAAATTCAAAATATATATTTTAGAAAAAGAACATTTTTTGGAATTATTATTTAGATTGTCTACACCATCGCCAGCGTCAGTGTCGGGAACACGTTTACAATTATTATTTTTATGAATGTGGTCGTTAGTTTTACTAGCGGGGACTGATTTTGAGGAGGATGCAGAGAGATTGTGCAGACGATGATGCTTCGATTTGGCAATGGCTCTTACGATAGCCAAGTTGAGTACAAAAATAATAACAAACGGCAATATGCTGTAAATCATGGCGTCCACCCAGGGCCACACGACTAAGATGGCGTACTCGTGGTTCTCGGAGGCCGTGCACATGGAGTTGACCAGGCCGTTCGTCCAGAAGAGGTGTATGTTGATGAGGATCATGATGATGGCCAGCATGATGATGACCAGGATGGCGTATCTGTCGGTGTTTATAAAGTACATATCAAAGTCTACTACCTCTCACAAAAATCTGATAATCATGTCATCAAGTCGTGCTTCAAAGTAGTTGAGAAATCGTTATGTTGGGCTACGTTCGCGAACTCTATTAATATCTTGCAAATGCTTGCCTGTAACTTTTTTGACATAATTTTACTTCATCAAGTGCAATTTGTTTGAAAAAAACTAAATGAATAAATGAATGAATGAGTGAATGTATGAATAAATGAATGAATGTACGAATGAATGAATGGATTGAATTTTTAATAGAAATCATTCTTGATTACCAACCAAGACTATTAAAATGCTGTTAAAATTTGCTTACACTACATAAATAACAGATTTTTTACTAAAATTTACAAATTTATCTTATGCAGCTGAAAAAAAAACTTTTAAATTGGACGAAGAAGAATCTCTGTCACGAGAAAATTGATAGATCAATTTTAAATTTGCGATTTAAGATTGTGTGAGAGGAAGAGTTCATTTTTATCGATATGATCGAAATGCTAATCCAAGCAAATAACAAATATCATAAATTTACATGTGTATGAACAAGCAGAAATAATAAATGAATGCCTCTAAAAACCTGAACAGACGATGACCATTTGTTTTTCATATGACAAGCTTGAGCGATGCCAATCAATATACAGGGAGACAGAGGAAATAAACCAAATAAACGAACAGTGAAATGTAAAAGGCTGGCAGAACACGTACACATCATTCATGTTATTTAGTTAACAATTAATGAGACATCTGATGTCTTGGGAATGCCCTGCTGGGAGTGCTGACAATTGAAAAATGGAGCAGACGTCCTGCCGCATATTTCTGATTTGCGACGCACATTTACCCGCCATTCTGCACGCACGCCAAACAGTCTACGTGCTAATATTTCTATTTATATGCAAATAAAAATTTTAATGATCTTTTTTGTGCTTTCGGTTAATGTTTAGCATAGATACTGTTAACAAATAACCGTTTTCCAAATATAATCTCAAAAAACTTTTTGACGTAATTATCAACTGTGTTGTAGACGTGTTGTCTTTGAACGTAAAGCTATCCTACGAAGCAAACAGATAAAAAAATTTTCCACACTTATACTGATCGTGAATGTAATATTTCTTCAAATTGATAGCAAAATATTAATGTGAATGTCCAACACGATTATATGTATGAACATAAGTATGTATGAAATGAACATGAATATGTACGAACCTAAATATGTATGAACATGAATATGTATGAACATGAATATGTAATATGTCTTCGATATTTTAGAGAGGTCGTTGAAAATTGATCTTACACTTTCTTTCATCTTTACGTCAGTGCATGCAACTATCTCTCATTAAAATGTTAACAACACTGAAGTTTCCGACTTGGACTGTCTCGGAACTCCTACCTGATTAAAACCATTTAACCTAATTTTGAAACTTGTTTTTACAACAAAATACTTGGTAATGACATTAAAAATGAATGAGAAACAACACACAGTTCATGTACAATCATCAATTATTGAGCTAATTTCAACTTTGATTCCCGATTTGATTGATGGAGCAATGTATTTCTCTAATCTAGCAAACATTTTTTGATTCTTAATCTCTTTGTTCACAAAATTTGCGATTATTTAAAAAAGTAAAATGTCGTTTATTGGTTTCTGTTCTTCTGATCTTTCGATTTAGAGAATGATTATTATTGCTCTAAACAGTCGTTTTAGTTGTATAGTGCATAGAAACACGCATGTTCGCCTATCACACGAGCCAAGTTAAAAAATATTAAAAAATGATGAAGCAGTTTGTTTTTGCTCAATACTGTCTACTTGAATCCTTCTCCAGCTTAAAAATTGTTTGGAATCGTTTGGGATTGAACTGCCAAAATATTTATTACATAATTGATCTGCATTGCAGTTTTATTTGATCGTATTCATTTTTAACGCCTGTAACATAGATGTCTCAATGAAGTAACACGCCGAGACACCTATGGGCTGGGATATTAAATTCCACTTCGAACGTTATATAGAGGAGGATGTTTTTATTGAGCGTGTCATATCATGTGTCATAATGTAGGCGCGCTAGGGGAAGGTCGACAAATGTTATGCCAGAAAATGTTGAAGAATAAAAAAAAAGTAATTAAAACGCCTATTTCAATTTCAAAGCATATCAAATTGGGCACAATTAAAAATTTCTAATTGAAGTACTTCCAGCGTCCAAACGTTTTGAAATAATTTTCTTTGGTCTAGAAAAACTTGTATTTGAAACTTGGTCGCAATTCAAACGGTAGAAGTGACAGTAATGTCCAATGCAATTCATCGACCTCGTTTGAAACAAACTGTTTTTCAAATAAACCTACGAAAACCATAACCTAGACAAAAATTTCAAAAAATAAACTAAAGAAACTGTTTACTGGAAAAATTGTATAAAATAATTTTTATCAAATTTGCTAATAAACTCTTTAAGACGTTGAAAACAACATCTGTCATTTTTCATTATAACATTCTTGTGTGATTGTGTCCAGTAGCCGAGCGTTGCATGAAAACAATTGACAGTGTATGTGAAATGTTAAGCTGTCGGTTCATGTTAATGTCATCTGTATTGTTGTTTGTTTGTGGTGTTGATGTATGTGTGTGCGTGCGTGTGTGTGTTTGCGTGTGTGATGTTTTTTTTTTCATTCAACAACAAGACTTAAATAAATAATTATTTAAACCAAATATCAAATTGTTGACATCTAACATTTATATCAAAAAATAAAAACAAAAATAAAATATCTGGAAAAAGCAAAAAGCACGTATGAAAATTAAGAGGAGGTAATTGCGTTGGCGATGAAAATTACATTAAGAATGACACGACAACAATGGTATGACAACAACAACGACATGAAAACAGCAACGAAATGACAACAGCAACCACTTAACAATGGGGGCGATAATTTTAAGGATATAATTTTGCTTTCAGGATTGCAGCGTTTGTTGGAGGCTATCATGGAATTGTAAAAAAAAACTTATGACATCCCACTAACGAGCTTGCAACTCTATCTGACATACCTACACATCGTCTGTCGCAAACACGCCAGCTGCCAATCAAAACAAAAAAACAAACAAACAAACCACTAACAACTGATGTAATCAGTCATGAACAACATGCATGCGAACGTGAATGCATACGCGTACGTTTGCATCAACTAACAAACAAATAAGCCGATATAATGTTCAATTATTTTTAGGAATACAAGAAATAGAATATTCATAAATATTTCAGTGATATCAGTAGGTAAGAGAACTGCATTGAAGAAAACAAAGGACCGCAAAAGACGAAGTAGTGCTGAAGCTATTCATCTTAGCACGTTAATTACATCTTTTTTTTCGCTGGCTCCAGAGAAATGTAAAAAATTTGAAAAGCTATGCAAAAGTTATTTACTACCCTGTTCAACGCTAGTAACTAATATATCAACTGCAAAACATTGTCCGAAAGTTGAAAATGTTAAAAAAATTTTGTGAGATTTTTGAAGAGGAAAATTCGCACCTGCAAATTGAAATGATGTACTAAAAAAAAGTAAGATTAAACCATTAAAAAATATTGAACAAATGACATTTAACGAACATTTCGAACGAGATATACGAATAACCACAAAATATTTGATGAAACTAAATTATTTTTCATTAAATTTCATCAGGATAGTGTTTATTTTATTATATGTCCAGAATAAAAATGGCGTAATTATAAAAAAAGCTAGATATAACTGATGATCAAGATTAACACAAAAATTTTAAAACGCCCCTGAGATTCCAACTCAATGACACTAAATATTCTGGTCGGCGTGTTTTGAATTTTAAGAGAGTGATGAATGTTGTTCATCCATGTTCACCATCATCTGTTGCTTTTCGTTTAGATGCTGTTGTTTGATTGGAACATTTTTTAATGATTGATTCGCAGATCAAACGTTTATTTTACTCAAGTTGAAACGTGATTGCAATTAAATGAACAAAAAATAAAAGTAAATGAGCAGAAATATATAACGTTTTTTAATGACAATGATAAGCTGTTCACGCAAATTTAAAAATAGATTTAAAAAAGTTTTCGTAAAAAAATCTTTTCCTGAAATTTACCAAGTTTGGTCAGTTATAAAATTAGAGAATTTAAAATAAATGACCAATTACTTTTTAGATTTTGAAGAAAATTTGCAAATGTCAAAAATGTCAATTTTCAAGACGTCACAAACTTATGAAGCCAATGAAACAAGCCAAGCCACCAGCCAATATCCATCTAAGCACACGATATACTCGCATGCAAATACAACACGCACGTAAAAATAGCAGGTTGGCTACATAAGCGTGAGCACTCTATCACACCTGTGATATCTCAACATCTCAGTGTTTCACGGTCATTATTCGTTTACAATTTGAGCCCCTACCATCCGAGCGAGCACCAACTCATCAACACAACAATTCAAGTAACAATAGTACAACTCATTGAGACAAAACAAGCAGATACAAAATGAGACAAATTTCATCTAATTTTGAAATTTCACGAATTTATACATAATTTTTTAATAAAAAGTTAATTTTTAAATTATGAATTTAACTTAAACGATTGATGATCTATGGAAAAATAAATTTTTTTTAAAACTTTATATCCACCGTTGATAAAAAAGCCAATGCATCATCAGTTCGTAAGGTCGGTAGATAAGCGTACCTGAGCAAACACACGCAAACTTGGTGGTACGTGAATAATTGAACCCTTCTTATACCCGGTGCAGTTTGGGTTTAAAACGTTTTCGCAAAATTACGCAGATTTGTCAATGAAGGAGATTTTGTTGATGGAGCAAACGTAGTTTCTGTACAGAAATTATTTTTTTTTAATTTAAAAATTCAAATTATCTTTTCATATACCAACCAAAAAGGAATTTTACAAAATCTATTTCCGAAATACATAAAAAATATAAATTTCAAATTGTTAGTTATAAGAGATAGTTGAAAATTTAATGAGCTTTCTTGAAAGCAGCAATTAAACGTTTTTGTGGTAGTAAAATCTTTAAAACCAGTAAAAAAGACATTGCGATGCAAACTTCCAACATTTATTCAACGCGCAATGTTCTTATGCTACAGTATAATCTTTCGTTTCATTGGATATTTAAATATTTACGATTTATTCATTTATGTGTCCATAAGCAGACTTCTTTGAAACTGACAAGCTAGAAAGAAAAATAATATTTGCGAATTAGTTCTATTATTATAAATTATTTACGATATTATTTATGATTAGTTTTAGCTTTTTAAATAGTTTGAAACCTAACAGTTATTAAAATTATTATTAACGGTGGTGAGCAGAGAGGTGTCGATCATTATAAACTTGTATAAAACATTAGTTAGCCCTCATCTCGAAAACTGTTCACGGGTCTGGAGTCCGGGTCTGCAAAAGGACAATGATATTCTTGAACGGGTACAGAGTAGAGCAACAAAGATGATCGAAAGAGTTGGAAAACTGGAATATAGGGATAGACTGAAAAAATGTGTATTAACAACACTAGAAAGGAGAAGATGCAGATGAAATCTGATTCAAATATTTAGATATATAAGTTAACAACTGGAAAAGAAGAAACACCTTTCACCAGGTTCTTTCAACTAGAAAAAAGAAAAGGATTGGCAGGTCATAGATACAAATTCTTCAAAAAGACAGAAAATCCAATAAAGCAAAAATTTTTCAGCAGCAGGGTGGTAAACGCCTGGAACGAGCTGAGCAATGAAATTGTCTCAGTGGATTCAATCAACAGTTTTAAAATCAAGCTAGGAGAGCTAGGATGCTAGGATATTTATTTTGTAGTGGTTCTTACACAAATGCTAGTCTACTGAACTACTTTAAACTTTGTTATTATTATTATTATTAAAAATCTTAGCGAGCTTAGTTTCAATTGTTAGCACGAAATTGTTGAAAATATTAAAAAAAAAAATTTAAATTTCTTTCAAAAAGTCTATTGAAAAGATAATCTCCTCATAAAAAACTTTTGCTATCAGATTATATCAATGCCAGCTTAACTCTTACTTGAAAGAATATTTTCGATTTTTTGTAAAATGCAAATTTGCTACACAATTCGTCCAAACGCAAATTATGTCAGTTGTTATTACAATTGTGTTGAAGTTGTTATTACTCTCTCTTATTTATTTCAATGCAAACATTAAAACCCTTTAGACGTGATTTCGCTGCTGTTTTTTATTCAAAAAGCACTTTATTGGCGTGGATTGGGTAAGCATTGATTGCTTGCTGGAATTTTTTTATTATTCTTTAAAAAAAAATCAGTATCTGACAGACGCAAAAACTGTTACAGCTTGCAATACAATAGTATGAAATGATAACGAAAAATAAATAACGGAGAAAAATGTTTAAGAATAAAAAGTTTGGAAAAAAATAAAGTAATGGTTTAAAAGAAAGATAAATAATATAATTTATAAAAAAAGATTAGTTTATGACTTTGTAAGTTAGTTAAGTCATCGATAGGAGTGAAGAAAACTAGATTGAGTAAATAATAAGGTTTTATTGAGTGCTAATATATTTAAGGATGAAGGGGTTATCTTGATATATTGATTGAGTGGCTACTTGATAGTTATGCTTGCCTTGACAAAGTTGTGTGTTGTAGTTTTGATTGTTGGTAGTAAAAGATGGGTGACGTGGTTGTTGTTGTTGTTATTGTTTACTTTCTTGAGCAGTCTTGAATCGAGTGTGTTGAATATTTGAGTGACGGCAGGATATGATGCATGTAGATAGTTGAGGCGAATTAGTTTTTTGATGAGAGATTGTAGTTGTTGAAGTTGATGTTGTGTAGCGAAACCAGACCAGGAGAGAGCTGCATATTTGATGGGTGAGATGATGAGTGATTCGGTGATGTCGAATAATTTGAAGCCTCTGAGACCATGGGAGCGAAGTGTTTTGAGTGCGTGAAATGTTTGAGAAAACCTTTTGTGATGATGTGATTGATAAGAAGTGTGGAGGTAAATGTGATGCCTAAAATTTTTAAATGAATTCGTGCCAGTGATTGATGGGTGCTCTGGAGGTAATGCTATTTTCTTACGACTACTCCGAATGATGAGGTCGAACGATTTATTGAGGTTAAGTGACAGATTGCATGGCTTTGACCTTTGATTTGAATAACGAGTTTGCTGGAAGCTGCAAACATCAACAAAATCAGAAAAACATTAACACCGACATTCGGTTCCGCTGTAAAAATTGTAAGCCGCTACGTTAATGTTCTGATGAAATTGTTTGGAAAATAGTTGAAGCATTGGTTTGAAACAAAGAAAGAACTATTTGAATTAAAATCCGCATCAAGTATACAGGCTAATTGACTTGACACTATCTTACTGATAGGACTCTTAATTGAATCAGAGGTTTGCCCTTCAGTTTCAAAATACTAACACTTACAAAAAATGTCCAATATGTAAAAGAAAAAATAACTAACAATCTTATTTAAGCAAAACGTAAAAAAATCACCCTAAAAAAATAATGCCTATTTTATATAACAAAAAAATTTACAAACTTTTTTGTATAAAAAATTCAATTTGAAAACTCAACAAACAACAATTTCATTGGGCAGAGCAAAAAATGAGCAGCAAGAAGCACACGCATCATATGGTCTCTCACATTTAATGGCCTGCTGGCAAGCAGAAATTTTGCGAGAAATTCGCGTGTCACATAAACATGAAGGCTCATTACGAAGGGCACTCGCAGTCTTCTCGCAACGTCGCTGTGATCATTCACTATAAGATAACCCCGTTGATATTGCAGGTACAAAAATTACAAAAATATTTTTCCACAAAAAACATTAAAGAATTAGGCTCATGATTTTTAAATTTTTATTTTAACAACATTTTCATGAAAAATCTTGTTTATTCAGCACTTTTTTATTTTCATTTATTTTAATACCCATTTTAACAATATTTTATTTAAAAAAGCTTAATTATTACACATGCTTCTTCTTTCTCGTGCCTTATCCTTTCAAGACATTAGCGACCATCGACCTCCACAAAACCAGATCTTTGACACTTTGTAGTAGTTGAAATGTGGTGATGTTCAATAAGTGACACCAGGACTTCACAAATGTTTTGTCACTCACAAAAATATTTCAAATTCATTCAATGCGTGCAGTTAGTTTAAATTAGCAACATTTTAATATGTTATTTTAATTATAAGGTAATAATTTAAAAGTTAAAATTTAAACTTGATTTAAAATATGCTAAATAATGTGTTCATTTGGACCGTCAGTCGATTGAAAAATGAATTAAAATAAATGAAATGCAGAAATAAAAAAGTGAACATTTTGCGATAATTATATTACATTTATAATTCTGTCTCGTGTTTCACAATTTTGTTATCAATCAAATCTGTAAGAAAGTTTCTAAATTCATTCATGTTATTTGATGTTCTGTGATGTTTGATTTTGTAACTTTTATTCAAATCAATTTTAATTACGTTTAAATGAAAATCATTCAAATATTTTACATAAGTTTCAGCTGATTTTATTATTTTCGATAAGTTGTACGAAGTTGTAGCAGCAGGTCTCTGATTGGGAAATACAGAAAAGAATTGGAAGGCGTCTATAAGGATTTCATTTGATAAGGAAAACAAATGAGATGCACATTACACAAGCAGCCTTCAACAGTAAATAATACGATTACTAAAATATATGGTTATAATATTTTTATTACTTTTTTAGTCGCGGTTAAATACTTTTTTAGTCGCGGTTTAGTGTTGGTCCTAAGTTATCAAAAATTATTTTTTATAATATGAAGCTCACCAGACACAGAGTTGCTTACGATAAGAATCGCTTTTCACGCTTGGCTACATCTGGACGTCTGTGTCACACATGTGAAACTCAGAAGTGATAATGTATTTATATGCATGCGTAATCCCCGCATTATACGCACGATTCGTGAAGAGTGCATTTGAAATGGTTCAGCGCGCAATAACAACTTAATATAAACAGTTAAAAATTGGAATGAGAAGATATACCGACTTCCTTCTGCAGACGTTTGACCTCTTTAGAGGGTGACAGACGACCACGTAGCGTTCAACTGTCACAGCCACAATGAGCCACACGCTGAAATCGCTGACTGTCGATCCAAGCGCGTTTGTCAGGCGACAGATGGAATCATATTTCAGGCGAATGTCAAGGTCGGTTCTGATGGCGGGAATCCATAATTTGATGAAACCTGCGTTGGATTTGATGGATTGTGTTTGTACTTTGTGGTAATGTGGTTTTAAAAAGCACTTTTTGATAGTAAAGAAAAAAAATGATTAGAGAGCTATAAAGATGATATTCATGATTACAGTTGAAATGATGACGGCGATAATCAAGAGGCACAAAAAGATTACAATAGTAAGAGTAGATAAGATGAAGACAGTAATTATGATGATAACAATTAATACGGAGTGTGTCTGATGAAGATAGCAAACCATCATTCACAGACCAAATCAATTATGTTTCTGCATAATGGAAGAGGCAGATAATGAAAAAATTATACATGAAACATGCGCTCAATAATGAAGCATCTTATGATCACCATCTCAATCGGCATCACTATCTTAATCAGCATCACCATCTCAGCCGGCATCACCTTCACCATCACAACACTGACCGATGCAAAGGACGACAGTATCGACAACGGAGAGGACGATGAGATAGAGGTAGGCAGATATTATTCTCATAGACTTTCTGGTCAGAACTAAGAAGGACAGGAAGTTGCCAACCAATCCAAAGACCAGCAAGATGGGAGTAACGTAGAGAAGGAGGTGTTTTGTCAGTTGATTCACGTAGGCTACATGACGACGATGATGATGAAGATGGTGATGATAAAGATGATGACGATGACGATGGCTTTTGGAAAATAATATAATACATTTTGTCATGCATTTTTAACTTTCGATGTTATAAATATATCCCATCAACACAAGAGCATTAGACATTCAAATCAACACCCAGTCAGACACCAGACAGACATTCAGTCAGACACCCAAACAGACATTCAACAAGGGCACAGACAAATATACATACATACACATAAATTGACTGACCAGCATTCGTGTATGAAAATCTTTTAAACTCTTCCAGGGTCATGTTCAGACTGAAAAGAACCTCTTGTTTCTGCTTTTCGTTCATTCTCTGGTAGACATCCCACATGTCCATATCCGCCATCTCCAATGCTGGATCCATCATGTGACTTTGTTGTTGTTGTTGACGATGATGATGAAAATGATGAGGATTGTGAAGATGAGGATGACTTTAATGGATGGTGACGATGACGGATAATGTTGATGACGTTGTTGTTGTCAATGATGACGAAGATGAAGATGGTAATGACTCTAAGAATGATGACGATGACGACTGATGTTGTTGACGGTGATGACGATGAGTGTAGTAATCATAGTAACGATGATAAATTAAACGCCAACGATGATTTTTTTATCTTGATGATTGGTGATGATAACAATACTGCTGCCATTGAGCGTGACAAAGATGATGATGATGACGAAGATGATGACGATGATGACGAAGATAGTCGTATTAATACTCCCAACTAAGATGCATGCATAACAATGAGATTATGTTAATGACGGCAGTAAAAAATAAAAAAATGCTTGTGATCGGTAAGAGCGTTAATGAGAAACAAAAAGAATTTATTGATGATGATGATGATCATGATGATAACCATGATGTGAAGATTATAAGGTGGTGACGGGAGAAGGATGATGACGACGATGATGGTGATGGCAAGAGAAATATGTTTTTTGTTGATTGATGAGAATAAATAGGTTTCCTTAGAACACTGAGACGTCATCATCATCATCATCATAAGCAGCAGCAGCAGCGGCGGCGGTTGTCGTCGTGAGAAATGTCATTAAAGAAAGGAAGATACAAATTTCTGTTTTGTCATCGAAGTCAAAAATCTGCAAAAATATTTTGAAATTAGGATCACCATAATAAAAAATAATTATAAAACGAAGTAAAACAATAACTTTCATAAAATGCATTCCCAGATGTGTAAATAATAAATTAAAAATGATTGTTTGTTTTTTTAATCATAGAACAATCATTCATTTTATTTAATTTAAATTGGAAAAGAACTTTAAAAAAGGAACCAAATAAATGAATAAATAAAATATCAAATTAAAAGTTTTAAACGTTTTTTAACTCTTTCTTCCGGGATAATTTGGTTTTTTTTAATTAATCAACTCTCATCACTACGAAAAACTATCATAATTTCTCGAATTGACCCTTTCACTGAATTATACAAAATCAACTCAAAAAAAAAGACCGGCCAAAATATGTTGTAATAGTTATTAAAATTTAAATCGCCTTATTTTACAATGTTCACTGAGCCAAATGGTAGGAGAGATAAAATAAAATGGTAGAAAATGATCAAGATGCTGAGTAAGGTTGCTGATAAGATGACGATGATAATATTAATAAAAATATGGACTCAGATGGTGATAAAGCCGACATGAAAAGGTCAGTATAATAATATACATAAAAGATGATGAGTGTCCTGATAAGAGCAATAATAGCGGTCATCATTATGGTGGACAATGTGAATACTGTAATAAAAATAAATTAATCAATCGGCGTCAATTAACTGTTTCATGGACGTTTGTAACTGAAATCAAAAAATGTTATTATGTTATATAATATAACTTTTAGGTTGAAAACGTTTTACTTACACAGATCAATATAATAATTATATTTTAAAAATTTTTTGTCTTATTTATTTTAATAAAGACACTTGTGTTCATGAGATCAGCTTAAAAAACGTAAACAAGGGACCAGTAAGTATGATAACTCATATCAACTGATGTTTGATTTTACAAATTTTTTGTAAAAGCTTCATGATATCAAAATTGATGTAACTTCATTTATTCCGTAAAAAAAGTTGGCGTAGAAATAAAATATAATCCTGGGATCTATAACAATTTTAGAAAGAGCATGGGAGGGATGAAAATGCAACTGACGTGAGAAAAGCCGGAAGATGAATATCCCAAACAACGCGAAACGAGAAAAATTTTTTTTTTCTTAAAAAAAATTCAGCGTGTGGATGAATGGAGCAAGCAAATAGCAAAATGCATATTAGTTAATAAAGTTTGACTATACGTAATTAATATCTTATAATTAATTCAAATTTATACAACATATCTCTATTTTTTTGAAAAATTATGCTGAATTTGATATTTTGTAATAAGCTCCAGATTTTATTTTGCAGTATTCAAATACTCAAACTATAATGTAACAAGAAGAAATCACATCCTAAGAATATTTGACTTGAAAATTTTGAAAGTTTATAAGGACCATAAAAGAAAAAGTATAAAATGCTGTTGTGATTTGATTTAAAATCATGGGCTTAGTTGGTGAAGTTGAAGTGAAGGACATTTAATGATGAAAATAAAAAGAAAATTAATTTTTCTTGGCTTCACACGTACAAACTGATGTCATATACAATACACATTTATAATAATATTACGTATAATTATGTACAAGTATTTTTGTTTTTACATATAGAAAGTGTAAAAATATGTGCTGTGGTTACATTTTCGTGCTTGCATTTTCCTCACTGTTTTTAAAGTTGTTGGATACAACTTTATTAAATTTTTGATCAATTCACATTGGTATATGTTATATTTATCTGATGCCGTTTTCTCAGTTATCCCTTTTCACTCTCTCTCTCTTTCTCTCTCTCTCTCTCTCTCTCTCTCTCTCTCTTTTACACACACACACACATACAGTTACACTTATTATCATGTACATTTATAAACGATATATATGCCTATTGTATTTAAACATTTATTTAATATTTTATACTTGTGGGAGAAAGAGAGAGAGAGAGAGAAAAAAAAGAGAGAAAGAGAGAGAGAGAAGGAAAGAAAGAGTGATATATCACACCTGTTAGATTTTATTTTCAATTTGACCTTACCGCTGATTGATTTAAAACAATTTTCAACTTTTTTTTTATTTTACGTTACTTCATCACGACGAACTTCTCTGCAAAGTCACATAATTTAAAATTTAATTTCATCATTAATCTGCCTGCCAATTGAATCATTTATTTTGTCCATTTTGAATATTTACAATTCCCTAGCGATGTGAACTTATGAGCATAGATTAGCATAAATTAGAAAATGATTTTAAGCAAGATGATTTTCTATTTAAGCAATATAAAATTTTTTTACCAAAAAATGTTTAATAGTCTAGTCAATAACTGAAATTTCATTTTAATCACTTAAAGAGAATATGGTTATATTTTTATAAAATATTAAATCTAATAAAACTTCATTTAAGTAAGTGAGACATCAAACTAGACGAAAGTATTTCAGTGACTTTTTGCTTGACTACTCATGCATATTTCAAGTTTTTGCTCTATTAACATTTTCCTGCGAACTCAATGACTAACTTAAACTTAAAAACCATTTCAAATTTACAACATTTTTTGCAGTTTTTTTTAATTGTTTATATGGTACCCTTGGGATTTTATCGTTCCCATTCTTATTTTTTTCTGCTGCAAATTTGTATCATTGAAGAATGGGATTGGAACCTCTATGCTCTTCTATTGTTCCTCTTCAAGGAATAACAACGTGTAGAATATATTGCCAAAAATTACCAATAAATTAAAAAAAATATTTGAAAAAGTTTGAGCTTTCAAAGTTATTTTTTTATTGAATAGTCCAAATCTATTTATTTCGTACTTTACGATCAGTTCATTCTCATACAATTTGCAATAGATTTATTAATGTAAATGAATAAACAAAAAATATGACGCTAAACTATGTAAAACAGAGTTATAAACAAACGAACGAACAGACAAACAAACAAATAAATGCATGTATTGACAGAAAGAAACAATCGCTGGAAAGAAACATATAGTACTCACAACCTAAAGACATCGTAGGTACTCAACATGAAACAACATATGCCTGGCTGAATGTAGGCACGCGACGACGTTAACAATAGCAATGCAGTTCTCTCGATCGGCAAATGATTTTACTTTAATTCAAACTTCTTCTTCTTTCTCGTGCATTATCCTTTCCGAATGGTCAACTACAAAGACACAACTTATGTAAATAAATAAACTGGAAAGAACGCATCGCACACATTGCATGAAATGGATGAGGATATCGTTGCATTCGAATTCAGTAACTGGATAA